GATTGTCTGAGCCCAGGGGTTCATGACCAGCCTAAGCAAAATGGCAAGACCTCATCTCTACAATAAATCAAAAAATTAGCTGGGCATGGTGGTGCACACCTGCAGTCCCAGCTACTTGGAAGACTGAAGTGGAAAGATCGCCTAATCCCAGTAGGTTAAGGTTGCGGTTGACTTGAGTGTGCCACTGAACTTCACCCTGGGTGACAGAGTGAGACTCCGACTCAAAAAAAAAAAAAAAAAAAAACAGGTTGTAATTATCTCAAACGTATGAATACACAAAAAGGTTCAGAATTTCTTAAACATTTTCTTTCCATAATGATAAAATCTTCAGATCATTACAAGTAAAGCCAGGGTAGAGAAAATTTAACCAATGCTTTGAAAATGACAGGTTTTTAAAGATTAATCTGAGATATCAAAGATCCAAATAACAGAAGTTCAGCTTAATAAAAAAATTACAGACTACTTTTGTTTGCATCAGAATCTCACTCTGTTGCCCAGGCTTGAGTGCAGCAGCACGCTCACAACTACATCCTCAACCTGCTAGACTCAGGCGATCCTTCTGCTTCAGCCTCTCAAGTAGCTGGAACCACAGATGCACACCACCATGCCCAGCTAATTTTTTTTTTATTTATTGTAGAGATGAAGTCTCACCAAGTAGCCCAGGCTGGACTCATATGCTTGGGCTCAGGCAATCCTCTTGCCTCTGCCTTCCAAAGTGCTGGGATTACAGGCATTGAGCCACAACATGCAGCCTACACTAACTTTAAATACACCCATTTTGGGTTTTTCCTTTTGCCTAAGAAAAAAATTAAGCGCAGAGAAGTGGCATTGCCCTATTTCAACTCTGTATACTAGCTTCTAATATAATATAAAATGTAACAACATGCATGAAGGAAAAAAGAACTGAAATTTACAATTTGTATAAAGCCTGTTTTTAAAACTCTACTAATCAAGTTAATCCATTAGTTAATCAAAATGACATCTCTATCTTGAGCCATAACAACTTACTAGTTTAAGAACAAGAAATTGAATTTCCATTCCACATTAATCTAAGCACAGATTCTACTTCACCGTAAGCATATCCCTATGATGTGGGGCTACTGTATGAATTTTCTAATCAAAGGGCAGTCAATTCAGGATATCCAGCAGTTTGACACTAAGACCACTCAAAACTTTATTTTTTAATGTTTTACTTTTTAAAGATGTGGGGTAAGCTGGGCTCGGTGGCTCAGCCTGTAATCCCGCGCCTTTGGGAGGCTGAGGTGAGTGGATTGCCTGAGCCTGCAGGTTCAAGACCCGCCTGGGCAGGTGAGACCTCATCTCTACAATAAATCAAAAAATTAGCCGGGCGTGGTAGCACGTGCCTGTAGTTCCAGCTACGTGGAAGGCTGAGGTGGAAGGATCACCAGAGCCCAGCAGGTCGAGGCTGCGGTGGCCGGGAGCGGCCACTGCATTCCAGTCTGGGCGACGGAGTGAGACTCCAACTCAAAAAAATGAAAAACAAAAAAAATAAAAAATAAAGATGTGGGGTAAATTTAGGGTTAGGTATACAAAGGTTTATTATGCAGGTACTCTTGTTAAAAGTTTAAGAGAACCTTAAACCAACTGCAAAAATCAAATGTACTTTAGGAAAGGCTAGTCTACTCATGAAAAAATTAATCTCCTTCTAGCAACATTCTAAAAATACTATAGTGAACCAATAGCTTCAATGAAAACCACAGTTTTGGTATACTTGTGTGTATCTCTCTCTCTCTCTCTCTCTCTCTCTCTCTCTCTCTCTCTCTCTCAACACACAAAAAAATTCCAGCTCAGTTTCTCAACATCAGGCAATTAACTAGATAAAATAACTATAACATTGGCAGTAGTGGAAAAGTGTGGGGGGTGCCTCATCAACAAGGGTACCAGCATAAAGACCACTTGTATACCTGACCCTGAATTGTACCTCACATTTTTAAAAATAACTATAACAAAGAGCTCAGAAAATAAGTTTAGCTGTGGACGAGAAAATATTCTCTAACATTCTGAAACATCACATCGGGAGAGAGAGAGAGAGAGAGAGGGAGACACACACACACACACACACACACACACACACACACACAGGCTTTCAGAGAGAATATTTTCAGTTAAGAAATGTGACAAGTTCCATAAACTGTTACAATTCCAGAGTCCCTACTCTAAATGTCTTCTTAGTAATAATCTCTTTAGGAAATGTTTAAGCTTTCACAGAGAATATTTTCAGGTAGTAAAGTGACAAATTCCATAAATCGTTACAATTTCAGAATTCCTATCCTAATGTCTTTTCACCAATGATCTCTTTAGGAAAAGTTTAAGTACTAAAATGACCTTCATACAACTCATAAAAGACACTAGTTAGTCTAGTAGGTTGTTTCCTAATTAAACGATTTATATACTGTGCCCCCAAAAAAGAACCAAAAAAATCTTTTTTAACAAGTCAAAATTCCAAGTTCATACCATTACTTTAAAAATGCAAATATTCAGGGTGCAGTAGCTCACACCTGTAATTCCGGCACTTTGGGAGGCAGAGGCTGGAGGACTGCTTGAGCTCAGGGGTTCGAGACCAGCCTAAGCAACATGGCAAGACCTTGTCTCTACAATAAAGAAAAAAAAAATTAGCCGGGTGTGGTGGCACACGCCTGTGGTTCCAGCTACTTCGAGGGTTAAAGTGGAAGGATTCCCCTGAGCCCAGCAGGTCGAGGCTGTAGTGGCCACAAGCGTGCCACTGCACTCCAGCCTGGGTGACAGAGATAGACTCCAACTCAAAAATAAATAAAATAAAACTCAAATTTTAAGAGAATGAGTTCAAATTTTAGTATTTACCAATACACACCAGACCCAGAAATTTTTAATTTCTTAAAAACAGAATGTGGTTATAATCAGAAAATGACAGCAAATGTTGGCAAAGAGTGAAACAGCCAACTATTTTTTCTGCTGACATATAATCAATTGAACCAACTATGCTCTTAATCGCTTGTGACTGATTAGTTCAATTTTAACAATTAAAGAAATGGTCCTTGTTATTTAATAGTAAGTACAGACAATATCCTAGGCATCTCGGCATCACAAAAACCTTCTAGGAGAAATCTCAAACTATTATCTGAAACACTTTAGGTTTTAAGGCTCAGAACTGCACTTGCCTAAGGGTAATATCCCCTTCTCTTTCCAGATACCATTCATCATGGCTGGCTTGAGTATTTTCTATTTCTAAGAATGGACCCTTAGCTACAACTCGGGGCAAGCTCTAAGTAGAATTTGAAGAACTAACTTTTATGGCAAAAACGGACAGTAGTGAAACGTGGAGTAAATATGCCAAGGTACACAAGGCACGGAATTTATTCAATTCCTTAGCTTATGTTTTCTGTTAAGTGGATCCAACCCACACAAACGCTGGAATAAAACCCTAGGCTAAAAGAAGCACTAGTGCTGAGCCGGTACACTTGGAAGTAAAAGGGTCTCCCAGCCTTCCCGGAAAGGAGTCGCCGTCGACTATTTACACAATCGCCGCTTTTCAACTGCAGAGGCCAGCTGGCCAAGAACCACGTGAAAAAAAGCCGCAAGGAAAGCTCTTCCGGGGAAGAGTCCGGAGAGATCACGTGGCGCCGGCCGGAACCTGGTGATCGCTCGGCGAGACCTAGCCGCATTCTGTTACCGTGGAGACTACAGAACCAGCCACTCGGCCCTCCCAGGCCAGTCCCCTTCCCAGCAGCCGTCACGCCGCCCCCGGGCACTTTCCCTGCAGCCCAACCGCGGCGTCGTGCCCGAAAAGGAGCGGAGCAGGCAGTTTACCAGGGACGCAGCCGCACAAGCCTGGCGAGCTCTCCTACAACACCCACAGGCAGCGCGCGGGTGGGCTCCAGACTTCTCAAGAAGACCCACGTGTTTGCTCCGGCGACGCAAGCCTTGGGAAAGTGGTCTTCCCTCAAAAGCAGTGTGCTTTGGTTTCTCACGTTGTTCTGCCGTCAGCAAACACTCCTTTCAGACCACATTCACCCGTCCCTACTTCCACCCTTGCCAGATAAAGGAGGCAGTTCCAGGTTCAAAAGGCAAGGCAAAAATCCTCACAGCAATATACTACCACTTTCCACTATCGACTCAGTCTGAAACGATCCCTAATTTCTCCATAATCTTCGCGCGCGCACACACATTGCTCAACTTTGGTTGCTGGTGCGCTGAGATCTGCCTGCGTCCAAGACACCTTCCACTGAGAGCAGAGACCTACTTCACTATTTCACAGAAACGGGAAACCGTATAAACAGAACTAGCCAAAGACTGCCCCACAGAGGGAAAAGAAAAATAACACCTGCTCTTCCCACCTGTTTCCCCGTCCTCATTTCTGCACTTACGAACCACCGGTCCTTTGTTTACCAAGTTCTCACTCCTATATGGCACACTTCCTCGCCCTCCTTTATTTAGCTCGCGGTCCTGCCTCAAACAATCTGGAAATTACATGCTAGAAGAGACGTTTGCACAGGTGTCAAAACGCTGCCCCCAGCTCCTTAGAAAAGCGACGCCCGCACCGTTTCCCTTGGAGTTTCGGAATCCCGAGACCTGAGCTCTAAACTGCACAGCGCCCAAGCACGGCTCTCGACCTAGAGCCCGGCACCGGCCTAAAAGTCGTCACGCGGCTCGTACCATGCGGAGCGGCACCCACGCACGCGAGGGCAGGGCCAAGCATGGGCGCTTCTCACCCCGCCCGCCTCGTGGCCGCTCTGTCTGGCGTCGATGTTCCCAGTTAGTTCGCTGCGCGATCGCGGAAGTGAGGCCGGGGACGCGCGCAAGGTGACATGCGCAGCCTCGCTCAGGAGACCATAGGCGCGCGCCAAAGGCGGCCCAGCGCAAGGCCCGGCCTGGTCAGGGCGTGCGAAGATCGCTCAACGGAACGTTTCTCACGCCGTTCAAACACACAAGAGCTTCAAACTCTCAAAAACTCCAATCGGGCCATTATTAAGCGACGCCCTCCACCCAGGCCCGAGAGTTACCGTGCGGGGCGTGGCTGGCCTCACCCGGAGTCCTTCACATCCCGCTGGGGGCGGGTTATTCTGTTCGGTTCGCACACCGTGTGTCCGCTCCAGCTGAAGAGCCTGCGCGCGCACCGGACGTCCACGTCACCGCGCACGCGCTCCTACCCGCTCGGAGCCCGCCGCGCAGGCGCAAGAGGAGGCGCGAGCAGCACTTCCCTTGCCCCTCCCCCAACACCAGGAGTCCAAACGGCCCCAGAGCAGCGACAAGACCCTTGGGACCCGCCCCCGGAGCTGAAGCCGCTGCCTTTCCGGGCCCCAGCAACTCAGAAAAGCCTACTGAAGCTTCTAGAATCAAGAAAGACGCGGCAGGAGAGAGACACATAATTTCCTCAGGCTTGCACACGAAGCCTTCGTGAAAACCGTGAAACCACTGCCCGCCTGGCCTTTCTCCGCTGTGCTTTCCACCCTTTCCCGCGGGCTCTTCGCCGACCCCGCCCCTGCCGCGCCCAGCCCCACCCACACGGGGCTCCGCAGACCCCCTGGCTTCACGAGCCCGTCAAATGAATCCCAGGTCTTCCTGCCCAAACCGCGGTGGGCTTGGATAACGCCAGAGCGTCGGGAAACCTTGAAGGAAAGACCTGGAGAGACCCGTGGTCGAGTATGCAACATCCGCGACGGAAGAACACTAGCAAAATGGGGTGGAAACCTAAAGATTCATTCCGGTGTTGGAAAGAGAAGAGTTGCCACTAAGTTGCCTGCTATAAAAATGAAAGATGTCTTGATAAAACAGTAGAACAGGAAATTTGCACGGGAGTGTTATCTGAGCTTTAGTGCCTTGATCCTGTGCAATTTTGGTTTCTTCAAGACATTTTAAGCTATGAGGTGCAAAGAAAATATTACTGAGTATTATGTGTCAGACAATTGATGAATTAAGTCGATGGACAATATTTCTCCCAAACACCAAAAACTAGTTATCTTTCTCCTTCTCTACCTTTTACCAACTGTTCTTTCTTCTGTGCTGCTAACACACCAGTAAAAAGAGCTGTTTAAAGATAGAAAAGAGGCAAAAAAGTAGGGAGTAAGAGAGCAGAATTTGTGGTCAATAATCCAAAACTGCTTTCTTTCACTCTCTTATAAGAAATGTAAACCTACTATGTAAACCGACATACTTGTGACTTAATACAAAACACTGAAGGAGAATAAGAAGACTGAAAGGAACGCACCAACAGGAGGAAGCTTAACCAACAAGACTGATGTGACCTACTTTTCATTTTAGGATCTTCTTCATTTTGCTCTGCCTGAGGGGATATGTGACAACTTGGGCAGAAACTAATGGAATAGTCTGGACAAGAAATTGTGTAGGCTAAAGTTTACAGACTTCTGAAGTCATTCTGATGGCCCCAATTCGGCCACTGTCAGCAAGCACATTCAAGATCCTAGACAAAATTGAAAAGTATCAGTTTAACTTCCTCCTCTTCCCCAACACCCAAGAACCTCTTTCCTACAAGCAGCCATGTAAGAAGCTTACACCTCATCCAAGATATGCCTTCCTCTCAAAGCTTCTGAGGTTTCCTCATATAAAATTTCCATTTTCTGAGGCAGAAATAAAATGAGTGTTGATTTAGCATTAAACAATTTGATCCTAAAGTGTGATGACTTGTTAACAACCATGTATCCCAAAAGAGACAAGTCAACCCAAATGATATCTCCAGTTGGGAAACATATGAAGACAACTTGGGGAGAAGAAGGGGGATGCTTTGATGTAGCCACATCTACTTTAGTGATCCAGTTTGGGTTTACCAACATGCTGGTACCAAATAACCACCACTTATTTTTTTTTCTTTTTTTTAAATTTCATTTACTTCTTCAAGTCACCATTTAAATGGTTACATTCAACTTTTAGCATAGTGTTTCTCAAACTAAAGTTGATTGTATTTGGCTCCTACATTTGGCTACATAAGAGATGTCCTCCTTTAAAAGGCATCCTTATATAACTCAAGTTTCAAAAATGCCAAGCTGACAGCTAAAGTGATGTTCCTCAGTTTCACCTTGCTTTTAGAATTCTCTCATTTCAGTTATCGTAGCTCACTTTATTGGTATAGCCTAACACAAAAATCATTGCCTTGATTCTCTTTGGCTGAACTTTCAAGATTTTACCAAATATTAAGGGGAAGAACACACCACAGAGAGGATGTGTGGAATATAAATAGTCTGGCCATAATTTTGATCCTAGCTACCCGGTTACCTACATACACACTAGGTTATAAGAGAGGATTCTTTTTTTTTTACAAAAAGTCCTTTACTAGCCAACCAGAAAAGGGTATGTCCAAAGCAGAAGGGGAAAAAAAAGAAAAAATCATACTAAATAATACACAACTTCGTCCTCGTCTACCATTTTGTTCTATAAACACAGACTCTATCCTATTTACATGCACATTTTTCATATTAAACAAATATTTGAACGCTACCTATATGCTTAGGATAGAGGAAAGACTGGTACACCTCATGAACTGTTCAAATGTCTACACAAGAACCCCAAAGAGTTGACACAATAGAATATATTATATTCCTAAACAATATTTCAAATCCAATTTTATCAGATCACTTTTTTTTTTTTGAGTCGGAGTCTCACTCTGTTGCCCAGGCTGGAGTACAGTGCCACCACACCTAGCTAATTTTTTGATTTATTGTAGAGACGAGGTCTCGTCAAATTACCCGGCTGGTCTTGAGCCCCTGGACTCAGGCAATCCTCTTGCCTCGGCCTCCCAAAGTGCTAGGATTACAGGCTTGAGCCACCGTGCCTGGCCAAGATCCCATTTTCTCAGTACTGATTTCGAAAAAGACATCTCTCTCTTAAATGACTGAAAGAGAAAAAGATCTCACTCTTCATATAAAACCATTACCATGCACCGAAACTCCTAGGTTATGAACTTCTTTAAAATATCTTAATATAATAAAGAACCTTCACAGAACAATATCTACATACACACTAGGTTATAAGAGAGGATTCTTTTTTTTTTTAACAAAAAGTCCTTTACTAGCCAACCTGAAAAGTGTATGTCCAAAGCAGAAGGGGGAAAAAAAAGAAAAAATCATACTAAATAATACACAACTTCATCCTTGCCTACCATTTAGTACTACAACTAAAACCAAGTCATACTGAGGGACAAAGTATGACTGACTCTAATATCTGTAACTTGGAGGAATTAGAATTAATTCAATGAATCATTTAAGAAATTTTAAATGGCAAGCTGCCTTCAAGGAGCTAATAATCTATGAAGAGCTTTAAGTCTTTATTTTATTTTATTTTATTTTTTTGAGTTGTAGTCTCACTCTGTTGCCCAGGTTGGAGTGCAGTTGCACACTCACAGACACCCCCAGTGTCGACCTGATAGGCTCAGGCGATCCTTCTGCCTCAGCCTTCCAATTAGCTGGAACAACAGGCATGTGCCACCACACCCAGCTAAATTTTTTTTTAATCGTAGAGATAAGGTCTTGCCAAGTTGCCCAGGCTGGTTTCAAACCCATGAACTCAAGCAATCCTCTCAACTCAACCTCCCAAAGTGCTGGGATTACAGGCATGAGCCACCACACCCAGCTAAAAGTTTCTTAATCAGCATAGTGCTAGGTTCAGTGGCTCAGCCTGTAATCCCAGCATTTTGGGAGGCTGAGGAGAGTGGATTGCCTGAGCCCACGGGTTTGAGACCAGCCTGGGCAACTTGGCAAGACCTTGTCTCTACAAGAAACAAAATAAGCCAGGCATGTAGTACGTGCCTGTAGTTCTGGCTACTTGGAAGGCTGAGGTGGAAGGATCGCCAAAGCCCAGCAGGTCGATGCTGGGGTGGCTGTGAGTGTGCCACTGCACTCCAGCCTGGGCGATGGAGTGAGACTCCAACTCAAAAAAAAAAGTCAGCATAGTAATGTAATTAAAAGCATGTTAGAAAATGCTAAGAGAAGGGAGGATGAAGAGGACAGAAATGTAGAATGTAATCAACGTACGTTTAAGAAACACATTCTTCTTGCTGTCTCACATCTCAAGCCCACATAACCATTTACCTAACCACCCTTTGCCTAAGAAAGTCTTCCCAGATACCTTGAGCTTAACTCCTATTCACAACACTTAATTCGTAAGCTTAAATGTCACTTTTTCAAGAAATTTTCCCTAACCCTCAAGATCAGGTAAGGTCTCCCTGTTACATGTTCACATGTTCTCATAGTACCCTGTATTTATTTTATTTTATTTTAAAGATGTGGGATACAATTCATAAGTGGTCATTATACAGGTAAAGTCTGGGCCTCCATTGGTCCTCACTTCACCTGGTTTGGGATCAGGTACCTTTATTAGTGTTATGTTGCCCCCACCACACCTCCCCCCAGCAGTGATCTGCTACTGCCAATCTCTCTCATGTAGTATTAAGATAAATGTTCAGCCAGGCTCCATGGCTCAGCCTGTAATCCCGCGCCTTTGGGAGGCTGAGGTGAGTGGATTGCCTGAGCCCGCGGGTTCAAGACCCGCCTGGGCAGGCGAGACCTCATCTCTACAATAAATGAAAAAATCAATCAGGCATGGTAGCGCATGCCTATAATTCTGGCTACTTGGAAGGCTGAGGCGGAAGGATCACCGGAGCCCAGCAGGTCGAGGCTGCGGTGGCCGAGAGCAGCCACTACACTCCAGTCTGGGCGACAGAGTAAGACTCCAACTCAAAAAAAAAAAGATAAATGTTCAGGGTCTACTTATGAGTGAGAACATATGTACTCATATGTTTCTGTGATAGATCACCGATTATGACAGACTCTAAATTCATCCAAGTTACTGCTACCCTGTGTTTCTTTGCAGTATTTACCCCAATTGTAATTATTTTTAAAATCATGTATTGGCTGGGCATGGTGGCTCATGCTGGCAATGTCAGTGCTTTGGGAGGCAGAAGTGGGAGGTCCGCTGAAGGCCAGGAGTTTAAGAACCAGTTTGGTAACATAGCAAGACCTCATATATACAAAAAATAGAAATGTTAGCTGGACATGGTGGTGCGTCCGTACTCCCAGTTACTTGGGAGGCTGAGGTAAGAGGATTGCATGAACCCAAAAGGTTTAGGTTGCCGGGAGCTATTATCACACGACTGTAATCCAACCTGG